AATGCGATTTGATGGGCGTCGATACTTGATGCTGGCCCTGCTTCAAAGTCTGGGATATCGTCTTCTTGGTGATCAATTGCCAGTATTGGAGGGTTATGTATCCAACTAAGGGAGGCTTTGGTTGCACCTCGTGTGAGTGTCTTCGCGAGATCTGTAGCTACTTTGACACGATCAGAAAAGCGAGCCACAGAGGCAAATGGATTTTCCCAGCGTGATCGAAGTTGAAGAAGGTGGTCTCGACGGGTCCGCAGTGAGAATATGAAAAGTTCGTCTATTGACATCATCAGAAAATGGCAGAATAAAGCACTAGACTCACTTACTCGCATCAGAGGAAAGAGCAAGCTCTAAAGCAGCGAGCTCGTCTCCAAAATATCGGCACAAGTTGTCAGCTTCAATACTGAGCCGTTGCCGCTCCTCTTGACATCGATCATGCTTGAGGAGGGCGCGGATTCCATCTCTCACATCTGAATCGTCTAACCAGCGTGGTATGTCTCCTGCAGACGGCGCGATCCAAACGTCCTCCATTAGAGCTGGTCGTTGCGTAGATCCGCTAGTTTAGTTGGAAGTGCCATCGGGAGTGGTATCCCCCATTGAAGGGTCGTAGAGGGTGTCTAGGCGCTCACAATAAGAGTTGAACTTACGAATTGCTGTCATCAGGGCTGGTTGTCTCTTGGCTATTGCTTTACGAGTTTGCTGGTGAAGCTTGGTGCCTAATATGTTGAGATTAGTCCAATGTGCCTTTGATCCGGTTTAGTCTCACCTAACGCTTGCTGAGCACCACCAACTGCCCTATCGAGTTATCCCACTCGAAGAAGAAGAAACTACCGATTGCCCGTTTGCGTATGTTGATCTTGAGGTCGCGGGCCATCAGGAGGGTGTGGACAAAATCTAGGTTGACGCCCTGAAGCTCTGGAAACCTGTCATGGATATTCAGTGAAGCGTATAGCGCTTCGACCTTGTCCATGAGACGTTGATGCCCCCTCTCGAGACCTTCGAGAGCACTCAGGGTATCATCTGAAGGTGCCCTCCTTTTCAAGCATGGTGCGGGTAGCCTGCAACGCCCGATCTGAAGTATCCATATCAGATATTGTAGCGCAAGCACTGTATCCAGTTCCTTTTTGAGACGCGCAGGAGCGTCTTATAAAAAACTAATCAGTTAAACTAACACGAGAATAGTATGTACCAGTACTTACGAGCACGCACAGAGAGTTGCGCACGCCGCTGATCAGCCCACAGTGACCGTAAATCTTCAATCGAGACACCACAGTGATTAAGAATGTCCTCGGTGGTATTGACTTGAGTCTTGATGCCACGAAATCGTCGCTTGATCCAGTCACCGAGGTCTGTGCGCATCTCAGCTCCGATGGAGGCTGCCTGACGGTCTATAAGCCACAGACGCCGTTGGCGCTGAAATGTGCCAGAATAAATTGAAATATATATGTGAGATTGAGAATGGAGATGTGCTTACCGATGATGACCGCTCAATACCGATTAGACGAATGAGTCGCGACCAAAGTCGCTCGGTACCTTCCTCCGTCTGATAGACCCATTCAACGCACATCCGGGGATTATAGACAAGTTGACATCCCCACTCGTGGCCATACGCGTGCATGGCAGTTGTTGCGAAGCGGAGGCGTGAAGTAATAGAAACATCTAGAATATGATACTGCAGAATGTTAGGGATACACATCACTCAAGTTACAAAACATACCTGTGAAAGTGAGCGAGCTAGTACGCAGCCAACATCGTATAGAGCAATAACTGTTGCCTGTGTGGGGAGAAGTGAGAACAGATGTTCTAGTAAGGCAACAGAGTACTTCTGCTGTTCGCCGGGTGTATCGATGTTTGTAAGAATAGGGGAATGTCGTGACGGCAAATGAGTGCCATCAAACCAGTGTCGTCAAAGCTTTCCATGGCAGTCTTCTGCTTTTTTCCCATCAGCGGCTTCGTAGGACTGCTCGCACTGGTCAATGGCCTCGTTAGGTACAATAGGAGTATGTGTCGTAGCAGGGCGGCTTCCGATTCCTTATGTATCCGAGAGCCAACTTGATCGACGTACGTCTTTGGTAGGAAGTATGATGGATTATAGAAGTGAGGGCAGTCGCCCGCTGAGCGGCGGTGACGATGATGAAAGTTGCCGTCTGTGGCGACATGAATGTCACCTCCTTGATCGAGGGGTCTGCCAAACACACACTCCTGCAAAACAAGCGGGACAACGCTCAACCAGGATTGATGCACAGTGTTCTCTGTGTAAGTGGGACTCGGATCGAGCCTCTTGGGAGGTATCAAGGGTGTTGGGCATGAGGACAGGATGTACCTCGCGGAACCTCTTGAGAGGGATGTACCCTCGCGGACCTCTTGAGAAGGATGTACCACGCGGACCTCTTGAGAGTTTGTTGCAGGATCACAAACGGGTGGTGAGGGCTCACAGGAGGCTCGGATTCGGTCACGAGCTTGTTGGATTGCTTCTTCAATTGTCCGCTCCACCTTGACGTGCAGAATGTCGTACCACTGAACTGCATGTCCAAGACTTCTTCTGAATGGTTCCTGGATGATGTTTCCCTGTGTAGTTTAGAGTTAGGGTTATTCTTGGATTTGAATATATAAACTTACATGTTCGTCAGTTGACTGGAAACCCCGCCGAGCGTAATGAGTTTTCAATGCGGCTGCAAGTGCGTTGACTGCATCACACGAACGCTCAAATAGCGCTCGATAAAGGAAAGAAGTCGATGGAAACCGCACTATCCTTGGAAGCAAGGGCGCGGTTTGGGAATAATCCGTGGAGTATAAGGACTGGGAAATCGTTGAGCAATTACAGCTCAGGACCTCAATCGAGACAAATCCTAGTGTTGAATTAGTAAGGCCAGGAATGATAAGAAGGCCTAGCTACACTTACGATCAAAAAAGAGAGAAACGATGGATGAGCGCTTTTGAGCACATGAATTAACTGCACACGCAGATATGATAGAAGGCGACTTCTCGAGTGGCTGACCGACCGTTCCGCGAGATAATTAAGGAGAGGTTGATTAAGGTGGGGATCCACACCTTGCCAATTTCCATAGAGTGTTCGTGACGCCTTGTCAGGGAGTGTGCGCCGCTGGAGCTGAATGAGCTGTGTGTTCGCTTGTAGTTTATCATGAGGGGGTGGAGTTGAAGCTCGGGCACTGGACAGTCCGATGTCGTACACCCATTCATCGTCGTTGAACTGCCTATAATTGCGGTCGGATCCATGTTTGAACTGCTGGGATTGAATACAGAAGCAGCCTCTGTAATGTTGGATTGATAAGAGCTTGCCATGCGTAGGGCGAGCTGGCGGCGTTTGACATCTGCGCCTGGGATATCGACAAATGTTTGCGTTTTTTTCTTGTCTCGGGACTTGCGTGGACTAACAAAGTGTTTCCCAAGTCCCCGTCCAGAGGATGACACTTGCTCTGCACGGCGCATTCTCTGATTCAAGAGTGGTGGATGAGCTACTGCTACAATAAAACTACTAAGTGCCGGTTGGTTTAGATTTATTTAGTAGATAGAACAGAAGGCCACGCATATGCAGATGGTACTTACCCCCAACCCAGCGTGGTGGAAGTGCCCCTATTAAGTGGAAAGACCTACTGAGAGGTGCGGGTAGCTATTGAGAGCACTTCTGAGTAGGACTAGAGGGCTATTGGAAGGTATGGGTAGCTATTGGGAGGAGTATTGAGAGGCGCCGTTGTAGGTATGTATTTCATTTCTCACGCGATCTAAAATTAGAAGGCGGGAGGGGGGGTCTCACAGACTAGTTGCCGCCAACATAGAAACTGGGTCTCTTAGACCCTTTATAGGCACCGAGAAGTGCTGCCTGAGGTGTGAAGCTACTAGTACTACTAGGCGAGTTCGATTTCGTAATGCTTCTTTTACTTGTCATTGAAATAACTAACGAGTCCACTTATTTCCAAGTGCGCTTGCAAGGCTGTGAATTCAAGAGCGAGCCATCGTCCAGTATGATGTTTATTCAGTTGCCCCTCATTCAGTCTTCGGTACGACTCATACTCAGAAAGTGAGGGACATATGCACATTGCCGTCGGAGTCCAAAGCGGCCCCGATGATCCCAGTACAGAACCTTCTTCCCTGCTAACCCCATTTCTCTGCTCGTCCTCAAGTCCTGTCTGATAATTCACAATCACCTGAAGGTGGGGTATCTCCCCCGTCGCTTAACTCCGCTGGTCAATATGATTTTCCACCTGTCATGAACGATGACACAGCGGATATGACCTGTAACGGTCAATCGGTCAAAAACATCAACTGAGAGACAATGGAAACAAATGAGCTCTTTACAGGGAATCCAAGTTGGTGGTTGGTGTCTCGTGTTCATTCTTCATGCTGAAATTGCACTAGATCTAGATTAAATTGGAACGCTTCAGTTGCTGCCAACCTTGTCATGTAACGAATGTTGTGAACGCTGTCTTTCTAGCAAGCTTTTCACATGCTTGCCGCACGCGTAATGCGTACCGCCGTCACCAGAGGCGTTTCGAACGATATCAATCTATCAAAGACCTGGAAAGTAGGTGCCGCGTTAGAGGATCGAGGTTCAAAACCGTTCAGCAATAGGGTCATTGATGCACTTCACAGGCTTTTGTATGCTTGATCAAAAGTCGAAATGCAGAAAGAGAAATATATTTCGCACCGAGTCGTAACTTAATGTGTAGATATCCGTTCCAGCGTCAGCAAGTCATGTGACATATAGCTCGAGACGTGAGTGGTCCACAATCAGACGAATCACCGCATAAAGTCGACTTTCGATCAAGGAGGTGTGCACTGCGACAGCACTATGTAAATATTGATTAACGAAATACTGCAGGCCAAGGTGAACACTGTCAAATTCAAGGCCAATGGGCCCCGGGGACCAGGTCATAACCTTCCTTCTTGGTAACTTGAGTTCAATAGTGAGTCCGCGCCAGTTTCAGATGCACTATGGCAAGTCCTTCAAGTTCGATTCAGTCTTCGTTCATTTGGAGGAATCAAATTCAGGATTTGGCGTTGATTCCGCACTTCAAGTTCACCGGACTGAGTTGTATGTTTGATCTAATGTACATATACCACTCGAAGCACAGCCTACAACTATGAAGGTACATATTCGAGGACGTAACTCGTTCAACGAACTCTGCGTCATTCGCGCTCAATATGAACTCTTACAACCCATCCACCACCGCGGCCCATGCCCGACCAACTCGGTAAGGTAGTCCATCTGTTCCTGAATAGGACGGTCTTTAAAACATCCTCTTCATCCGAACACACAGTGAGCACGTGAACTGTCTGAATCTGAAAAGCCAGAATTCTTCGTCGGAGAGCACGTCGTCGTAGTCGCCATTAGACACGGGGATCCACTCTGAGGGCACTGAGGCACCCTCCATGAGATTGAAGCAGGCGATGGTGTCTAGATTGTTGATGCCCGTGAAAACACAAGGTGTATGTATCCTCGCACCATGGCATGGGTTTTATAGCCTTCGGAATTACGATCGCGTAATTTTTCTGGGCAGTGTTGCTCCGCAAACCGGACAAGCCATTCGTGAGAGATCGCGTATCCGTAGAACTGGGGATTAGGCTGCTTCTTCGGACGGACAAGTTTAATCGGTCGTTGTCTAATTGAATCAGGGGTTGAGATCTATAACCGTCAGAAAGTAAATAGATAATGCGAGAGGAGGTCTACCTTTAGTGCATCAAACAACTTCGAGAGTAGAGAAGACATGTTGATAGATATGTAAGATGGGATGACTGATAGTAACTGTTGCGATTGAGTGTGTTATCCAATTGTTGAGAAGACGAGACCGACTGTTGATTTGGGTTGCAATTATATAGTCACATAGCGGGTTGTGGACTGTGACCATCATAATAAGAACGTAAGACAGTCAACCCACAGCGACCTGATCCACAATGCCAATTGTGGGTTTTAAACAGTGCGGACATCCATATACTAGGGACTCCTCACGTGCCGTGTCCACCGCTGTCCACCGAAACATGACAAAATTCGTCTCATGCGTGGACAATGCGCGAATCGGGGATCCACCTAAGGTAAGCTTTTCATTCAGGAGATGTGATGGGGTTGTATGTAATACTACTTCATCGGGATATTTACGTTCACCAAATATGTACGCCAAAGCTTGTTGGTGTCTGCCTGAGCTAACCATTGATGCATCGATGCTCCGAAGCGCATTCTGTAGTGTTCGGTATGAGGATATCGATCATCTCACACACGCACTCTTTGCGAACATGCCTCTACGCCGTAAAAGGCGCTCGAGATCATGAGCAACCGATGACTTTACGTTGAAAGGTGTATTCATTAGGGGTGACTTTCTAATACTTCGAGTTGAGCACCACGCTCCTTCGATCTGCGTTTTGACAACATTAACCGCATGATGATATACATCATGCTACCAGCCACTGGCGCAGACTCAAGTACTATTGAACTCAAGTCCTTTGATTCAGTCTTCGTTAGTGTTACGACCCACTTGCGCGACAAGACATCCTGTCATATTCAAAGCCAATGGTCTCAGCACATACCTAGCCTCCTCCCTGATAGCTCATTTCTTTGTTTGTCGCTCGTCTGAATTACAATTATCTGAAGGTAGGACACTCCCTGTCGCTGCATCGCTTTGCATGCCAATACTTCTACTACTTGTCGTGGGCTTGGACATGTCAATGAATCGGTCTAAAACATCAATGTAAGCAAAACAAGCCATTGACAGGGTAATCTTGGTAACGGGTTTTCGTTATTCATGTGTGAAATTAAAAGATTAAGTTCGAGCTTTTATGGGTGTGTCAGTATGGGATGCAACCGCCAGTTGCAACCTTAATATAACGTG